ATCTGCCAAGCGCTCTGCCTGTGGAATACTCTGCTATTCACTGGGCAGTGCTTGGGAGCCAAATCAATGTGCCCGAGAGGGCAGAATGCAGAGATAAAGAGGCTTTCAGAAATGGATGCTTAAAGGCCTTGTAAAACTTACTGAGACCATCATAATAATTAATAGCTCTCACAATTTATAGCATTGGATCTTGTCTTGATAAAGTTTACAGAAATAACACATGAAAAGGCCCTGCAGCAGGGCCAGGGGAGTGAGGAGGTAAAGAGTGAATAAACCCAGAGCTGCCGTTTGGTCCAGGGCGATCGATTTTTGATGCAGATAATGCCCACCTTTCCCTAAAAGGACTCCATTTAGGCCAGGGCAAAAAGAGTGGCTGAGTGCAAATGATAGCTGTCCATCAAGATGAAGAACTTGAGATGGTTTGGCAGCACTTGGGAGTTTCTCCTGTGTTTCCAGATCACCTCCTGCTTCAGGTAGACACCGAGCGCGGGTGTCCCCACCACCATCAGTGCTTTCTAATGTTCAGTAATTCAAGTGTTTGACTTGGCCAATTTAAGCAGTTTGGGTGGGGTTTTTTCCCCTGCATAGTTCTTTTTTTCCTCTCCTTTTTTTTTTTTTTTTAAATGACAGTAAAGCAAAAGAATAACCTGCTCTCGAATCGGCTCTAGCCAAGAACTTGCAAAAATTTTGGCAGAGCTCAAGGACAGGGATTTTTATGATGAAAACTTCTTGACATAATAAAAGAAATTGTTCTGTGAAGTAACCCCAGAAAAAACAATGTAAACCTGCTGTCTCCCTGGGAGCAGTGAGGAGGTCTGAGTTAATTGCCAGCGCCTTTAATCTCCATCTCCCTCGTGATTTTCACTCTGGAGGTTCAGATTGACTCTGATTAGCTTGACTAGAAGACCTGATTCTGTCCCCAGTTACGCTGCTGTAAATCAGATGAGCATCTTTATTACAACTGATGAAATTGTTGTGGCATGAGCAAAGCAGGAGGGTCAGAATCACAGAAGACTTAAAAATAAGTCTGATTGTCCACTCTCATCCTGCTCCTGTTAGTGGGGTGATCAGGGAGTGCCTGACTGCTGTCCAAGCCAGAGATCAATGAAGTTAAAATTCTCTTTATCTTCACCTGGGTGAGTTTTTTATTAAATTCTTGCAGTGGTAGAGAGTTATTCTATGATTCTATGAGAGGATGAGACATAAGACTGGGGGCTTTAGTACTTGCCCTCATGGGTATTAATGGGAGAGAAATGATTTATCCCATCCCTGCCCACAGTGTGGGAGAGGTGAGGAACTGAACAAGCAGGGAAGGAGAATCAGCCTGAACATCATTCAGGGTCTCAGGTGGTTGGAGAACAGCTCAGTGCTCTGCCCATCCCAGGCCTTTGCAGGCAAAAATCCTTTCCCCAGGCTGAGGGGGCATCTGCAGTTTTGGGTACCACAATATAAGGAAGATCTGAAGCCATCAGGGAGAGTCCAAAGGAGGCCACGAGGATGGGGAAGGGCTTTGATTTGAAGGTGTGTGAGGACACTGAGGGCACTTGGGGTGTTCAGCTGGAGAGGAGGAGACTGAGGGGAGACCTCACTGCAGTGACAGCTTCCTCAGCAGGGGCAGAGGAGGGGCAGGACTGAGCTCTGCTCTGGGGGGAGCAGGGACAGCCCCCAGGGAATGGCTGGAGCTGTGTCAGGGCAGGCTCAGGGTGGATCTCAGGGAAAGGTTCTTCCCCCAGAGGGTGGTTGGCACTGAACAGGCTCCCCAGGGCAGTGGGCACAGCCCCAAGGCTGCCAGAGCTGCAGGAGGGTTTGGATGATCCTCTGGGGCACAGGGGGTGACTCTTGGGGACGGTTCTGTGCAGGGCTGAGAGTTGGACTGGATGGTCCTTGTGGATTCCTCCCAACTCAGCATGTCCTGGGATCTCCTCTCCTGCTGGGTCTGCAGCACAATCAGAGCCAGCAGCCCCCTCTGGCAGGACTGTGCCAATCATCTTAATTGAATCTTTCAGCTATTTCCCTGCAGCTGCCAATATTAGTGCCACGTACCTTGCACATCTTTTTCATCAGAGCTGAATTAGGAAACGTGTTCTTGCCATCTTATCTCCGTGGATAAATAATTGTATGTTGCATTTATTGGAGGCTTTGAACTGGTACATTTGGAGATGCTGTTTAATATGACTCTCTGCGAACAACCAGGGCTTGAACAGAATTTAATTACTGAGAATGGATTGCTGAGATTGGAAGGCACAAGAAAGGTGCTCCAGGTCTTTGGAAGACATCTCTAAAGGGCTTGGAGGGCCAAATGCTGGAGGTGCAGTCAAGTGGATTAATCAAACTGGAAAGTGAAGAGAGGAGGAAGTCATTTCTGCTTAGTGAAATAGGTGAGATTGCAGTCAGGGTGCCCCAAGGGAGGAACAGCAGGCAAAGCAAGGCTGGAAAAATACACCCCTGTTCTTGGGAGAGTGGTGAGAGCTGCAGGATTTCCCTCTGACATCATGAAATCCCAGAATGGTTTGGGTTGGAAGGGACCTTAAGGATCACCCAGTTCCAACCCCTGCCATGGGCAGGGACACCTTCCACCAGCCCAGGTTGCTCCAAGCCCCGTCCAACCTGGCCTTGGGCACTTCCAGGGATGGGACATCCACAAGTTCATCTGGTCTGAGAATTCAGTGTATGGGATCAAAGTGTGCAGTGCAACAGTGAACCTTGTGCAGATGCCTCTGTCTTAGCTCCAAAAATAGTTGGAGAGTTCAGTTTGTGGTGCATAAACCAGCTGTTGGCAGGTTCAGGTGCTCTGGTTCCCATTTACACCCAGGCCTTGCTGGGGACGTGCAGTGAAAACGTCCTCGTAAAAGTTGTTTGGAGCACTTTAAAGGGCAGCAAGGCAAGAGCCAGGCTGGAAAAATCCCAGACCCCGTTCCAGAGCAGACAGGTGGCTATGCCTGTGTGTTGTCCTGCATTTCTCCAGAGCTCCCTGATTAGCAGAAGCAGGCGGATGTCTGTGGTTCCCGCTCTCCTGCAGGACTGCTGCTACTCACTGATCCCAGCAGGTCCTTCCCCTCAGCACTGCTGCCTTTGTGCTGGGTGGTTGAGGCCAAGAACGAATCCCCAAAGATGTCAAACAGGAGAACAAAAGCCCAGAGGTCTGTTTATGCCTCCTGCATCCCCTTGCTTTACAAGTGAGTAGTAAATAATGCAAGTTCTAATTACGTCCTAAATATTCGCCGGGCAGGATGAGCGTTTTGAGCCCTCCGGAGGAGAAACCTGGCGTGCTGATTGATTCTTGTTCAAAGTGCTGTCTAGCATGCAAGAAAAATATCTCTATAAATGCTGGTTGGCCCTCAGTGTTGTCTCAGCAGCTGTTTCCCAGGTGGGGAGGTGGCAGCACCTGCAGAAGCCCGAGAGCAGCCCTCGGGAAGCTCCTCTTGGTACGGAGGGCTCTGTGTTTAATCGTTCTGATGTGTCAGATTTGGGGACTGCCAGCCAAATGCAGATCCGGTGGAGGGGGGTGTAGTTGATCCATTTGGGGTCTCTGGGCTCGTTTGTCATCCCTAAGTGTAAATGGATGGAGCACCTGCTGTGCCAGCTGTGCCTCCAAGCAGAGGGAAGGAAGGGAGGGCACAAAGGAAACAATTTCTTAGGTAATTGGCAGTGATTTGGTTCAGCCTTCTGTCACCTCCCGACTCCATCCCTGTGTTTTGCCTGTGAACCTGCAGTGGCTGGGAGAGGATCAGCTGCAGAACACAGCCCACACAGGCGAGGGACAGACCCAGAGAGAACTTTGCTCTCCATAAATGTTTCACCCGTGTTCAGGGACAGGCAGGAAGGGGCAGCTGAGCTTTGATTGCTTGTCGGTTCCACTCGGCTGAACACCCCGACTGCTGCCCTGATTGTTAAACCCAGGCAGCTTAACCCCTTCCCAGGCTCCACTGGAATCCACATACACACAAAAAAAAGGTCTCTCCTGCTGGAAACCATCTACCACAGGTTGATCTCTGGAGTTCATGGGGATTGAAAGGATTCTTTTGGGGTTTGTGAAACCCCTGTCGCTTCTGGGCTGGTTGGGACAGGACAAGGGGCAGTGGTTTTGAACTGCCAGAGGGCAGGGTTAGATTAGGACAGGGTTAGATTAGATGTTGGGAAGAAATTCTTTACTCAGGGGGGTGATGAGGCCCTGGCAGAGGTTGCCCTGTGGAAGTGCAGGCAGGAGCAGTTCTGGGGTTTGCCAAGGCCACCAAGGCTCACGTTGGTGTCGAGTCGCTGTGAGTCACTTCAGGCACCAGCTTTGATTCTGAGGGAAACTGTGCTGGAATTCCAGCTCCAGGATTAGCAGCGAGATTGCACCAGAAGTTTGGTGTGTTTTTTACCTAAATAAGAACTGTAAATTACGTGGTAGAACTCACTCTGCTCTGCACACAGCCTGTGTGGTGTTAATTAAATCCTCAGCTTCTTTTTTTTAGTGAAAGGAAGGCTGAGAAAACGAGTATTAAATCAATCCTACATTTAATTAAAGTAACTCTCTTCCATTCAGATGCTTTCCCACTATGATATTGGTGATGCAGTTGTACTCCTGAGCTAGTAGGAATCTCAAAGAAGTTGGTTTTGAGGAAACAAAATTGACTTAAAAACTGGGAATTTTATGGGTAGCATCACAAAACCAGGAGCCAAAGGTAAAACTCCAGATCTCTGCACACAGAGGCTTTTTTTTTATTAGAATCCCTCCTTGGAATGTCTTTGTGCTGCCTCAAAACCAGCGTTTCAGGTGGTTTATTTGAATGTTCCATCGTTTTAATTGTGCCAGATTCCTGTAGAAACCTCAGGCCAGTCCTTTGGTCCCACTTTGCTGCTCTCCTAAGCCAGCTGGGAACAGGAGTGCAGCAGGTCTGGGTGGATCCCAAGAGGTGCTGTGGAGTGATGAGTACGAGGCACCATCAGAAGGTTGACATTTAATAACTTTTTGGTTGACTTTTGTCCTTACACTTTCTTTCTCTGTCTTCCCATAGGTTATAACCCTGGAAGGATGGGTTGACATCATGTACTACGTGATGGATGCACATTCTTTTTACAATTTTATATATTTTATATTGCTTATAATAGTAAGTATGAACTGGGAGATGCTCCTATTCCTTTCCCTTGTGGGGTCAAGTTGTTCCCTGGCTTCTTCCCGGGGAAGAGCCAGGCAGGATTCAGAGGGGGAGACCTTCCTGCTGCCATCAGGTGTAATCATGCAGGTTGTGCTTCGTGCTGTGGGGGCAGATTATTGGCTGTGACAGCCCTGCTCGGTGTCCCATGTGCTGCCCAGTCACAGCTTGTCAGGCCATATGGACTCCCCTCCCTCTCGCCCTCCCAGCCTTGGGCTTGTCACCTTGATGTGTCTTGAGCTGCTGTGCCTTGGCCAAGCAACTGTTAATCAGAACAAAGAGCAGAGAGGCTGCAGCTTTTCTTCCTCTGGTCTCCTCAGTGTGCCAGAGGACACCTCCTCTCAGTGGAGGGCCCTTAAACTTTTGAACTTCACCTGAGCCCTTCAAATAACAATAATCCCAATAATAGCACTGCAGCTTTCTGAGGTCTCACAGTGCTGTCATTCCTAAAAAAAAAAAAAAAGTATTACCCACTGGAGGTGCTGGAGGGCATCTTCAGAAGCTGCCATTCCATGTTAATAAGGTTCTGTTTTTCCAGTGGGCACAACCTTCTCCAGGGGTCTACATCTGTGGGAAAGGGAAGCATTTAAGTCAAGAAGGAAGCAGAGGGAAAGGTACCATGTAGCTGTCAGGCAGGACATGGGATGGAGGAAATTAAAAGTGCTTTGGAGGCTGGGTATTCCTTATATATAACCTCATCCTCATCAGTGTGGGTTTGAAGGCCTTGGGAATGGAAGCCAGCTCTCAGCAGCAGTGGGAAAGGCATGGATCAGAGCACTGAGAGTGTCCCAGTCAGGGAGAGCATTTTGAACTCAGTGATTTTTGAGCTTTAGCAATGGGCTGTGAATAGTAGGGATTCACACTCCACTGCTCTGAGCCCTTCTCTGCACATGGATCCTTGCAGAAAAGCCAGGAGGTGACTAATCTCCAAGTCACTTGGAGCTGGGAAAGGCATCCTTGCTGCTTCCCTACCAGTATCCAGGCTGATATTCCAAACTGGAGATCAGCACCACAAACCATCTCCCAGCGGCTTCCCCTTGAGGATTCCCCAGACAATGGCCCAGATTAAATCCATGTGTGTCCTGCTGAGCCCAGCGCTGAGGTTTGGCCCTGCAGACAGTGGCACTTGCCTGACGTCAGCCCCCCTCACACCCAAGGGCACCGATTCCCTGCTGGGAATATTTGGCATTTCCCTGTGGCGGATTTATGAGCCCAAGTCCAGTTTGTGGGCTCAGCAGCTGAGGGAGGAATGTAGCCTTAGGTCACTTCACATTCTTGTCCTTGGGACTTAAAACTCAGTTGTCACCCAAGAACACATCCACTCAACCAGGCAAGAAATCAGGCCCCTCTAGGAGCACTGAACCTCCTGGAGGTGCATTTCCAAGGGTGGACTCTGCTGGGGTGTGATCAGAGGGAGTGAAGAAAAGGCCCTGTTCCCGTAGAGCAGAAATTGGACTTCAGACCTGCAGGTTGGCCAAATGTTCTGTGGTGGTGACTGACTGCCTCGTGTTCCACCCGGCGTTAGTAGCAAATGCCATCCGTGCTGAGGGGAGGAGGGCGGTGAGGGCCGTTGTTAACAGCTCGCTTTGCCACTGCCAAAATAATTTAGCATGGCTTAGGAGCAAATTTAGCGGCCTGGGCCACATGTGGACATGACATTTGGTGAGCAGACCCTGGGATTTGGCACGTTTGGAAGCCAGGCTAAGAACCGCAGTACATGTCCAGACAACTCATGGTGAGTGGGAGCGTGAAATCCCTGCTGATCCCTCTCCCCGTGTTCCCTCCAGGTCGGTTCCTTCTTCATGATCAACTTGTGCCTGGTTGTGATAGCCACACAGTTCTCTGAGACCAAGCAGCGGGAGAACCAGCTGATGCAGGAGCAGCGGGCCCGCTACCTCTCCAACGACAGCACAATCGCCAGCTTCTCGGAGCCGGGGAGCTGCTACGAGGAGCTGCTCAAGTACATCTGCCACATCTTCAGGAAGGTGAAGCGCAGGACCGTCCGCCTGTACCACAACTGGCAGAGCAAGCGCCGGAAAAAGGTGAACCCCAACGGCAGCGCCAACGGGCAGAGCCACCGCGGCCGCAGGCGCATCACCTCCATCCACCACCTCATCCACCACCACCACCACCACCACCACCACCACTACCACATCAGCAACGGCAGCCCGCGGGGCCCGCGCCCCAGCCCCGAGATCTGCGACCTGGAGCTCAGGGTGGTGAAGCCCGGGGCCCAGCTGATGCTCCCCGCCCCGGCCCCCCGCCCGCAGAGCCCGGCCCCCCGCCCCGACGCCGAGGCCGTGCACAGCATTTACCACGCCGACTGCCACGTGGAGGGGCCCCCCGTGAGCTGCAAGTCTTCCAACGCCCCCGCGGGCGTCAAAGTGGCCGCCGGGCTCTCCAGCCGCGGCAACACCAACTACCCCACCATCCTGCCCTCGCCCACGGGCAGAGCCGGCTCCGCGCCCGCTCCCAAAGGGAAGAAGAACGGGAATTCACCCGTGGCCGTGGTTAACAGCCCGGTGAATTTGGGTGTGGATCCTTACGGGAAGCTGCAGCAACTGGTAGGAGAACATGGTAAGGATAATCAAACTGATTCTTTTTTTTTTTTTTCTTGTTTTTTTGCTTGAGGAAAACTGGGCAAAGGGCGAATTGCTCGAGAGCTGGAGGTGTTAATGGTGGCCTTGTGGCTGCTGAAGGCAGAAGAAGGGCAGGTGAAGGCTGGGAGCTCTGTTCCCTCTATCCCTGTATTTGCAGTCACTGGGAAGGGCACCCTTGCAAGATACAGGGTGGTCCAGGCAGTGAGTTCAGGCTGTTGTTGGAGGCCTCTTTCCTGCAGTTACAAAACATGGGTTTGAGCCCCTCTCATGTGCCTTGTGATATCCTGGAGGTTCTCCCTCTGTTCCCACCCAAGAACAGACCTGTGCACCCCCTGGAATTACATCTCCAGTGAGTGATGGACCTGCCAGCTCCATCCCTGAGGCAGAGAAGCCCCAGGGGCTGGGAGGCACCTTGAAAGGGATGAGCAGGTGAAAAGTGGTGGAGAAGCAAAAGATGCAGGAAGTGTAAGAAGTTTAAAATGGGGAGGCACTGAAAAAACTCAAACCAGACACTTCTAGACACTTCTAGTTCTGCTTTGATGGGCTCTTGAGCCTCTGAATTTCTCCTTGGCAAGGAGGAGCAGAGGGTTTGGAGGGAGGCCCGTGGGCACTGCAGGGTCTTGCTCTGTGCTGGTCCTCAGAGGATGTGAGGAGGGCAGGAGCAGTGGAGTTACACACCTCAGGCACTCCCCATGTGCAGAAGAAATGTAGGACTGGGTGTTCCTGCAGATTTGGAGCTCCATTCAGTCTGAGGAGCATTCTGGGGCACTCCTTTGTACCTCAGTCCCATCCCTATCTGTACACTCTGCAGCAACACCAGAATAGTCAGCGAGGTTTTATCTCCCTTCACATATAAATCACCCACTGGAGCGGTGATTACACGCAACACTTGGGTTTCTATTTTGCAAAACGTTTTTTCCAGCCCTCGTGGCTGGAGCTGAAGACTGAGAAATAGTCTTGAGCCCTCAAACAGTGAAAAGTCAAAAAGATCCAGCTTCTATTTTTTAATCTTTTCAAGCCGAAGTCGTCATCTGTTTTTTTTTTTTCGATGCCTGTGTTTTCCAAAACTGTTTATCTGCGTGTGCATGGACACAAATATTTACCCTGGTGATGTGTGTGCTGAAAAAATACCGAGCCTCACTTGGGAGGGGTGGGTCACAGGAAAGGTTACTTGCCAGAGAGGTTGGGTGGCTTGTCTTTGTGAATTTTTTTTTTTTTTCCCAGTGACCACACAAAAGGGTAAAGTGGATTGTTGATAGAAACTGCCTTGGGCAGCCGCTTCTGAACACTTGGGAGCTCGGCAGAGAGGGGGGCAAGGTTAGTTTGCAGCGTCCTTCTGTTGTTCAGCAAGGACTCTGTGTGAATCACTGGTTCATCTCTAGCCATGCAAATGAGTGAAGGTTGCTGGAAGAATGTGTATTTTACCTTGAGATAAAAGCCCAGGCTGTGCAGAAGTCTGGAAGCAGGAAGGAGAGGAGGAGCGGGAGAGCTGGCGAAGTCGGAGGTTTGGATCTTGGTGCTTGCAAGGGGAGCTGCCCCTGGGGTCTTCAGGAGAAGAAAGCCCCCAGATCTCAGTCCCAACTGTGATATCCCAGAGCCAGTGCAGGGATTTTGGGAGATTTTCACGTAGCCTGCGGTGGTTCTTTGAAAGCTGGAGATTAGATTGAGTTGTTATTAATAATGCAATTACAGTGTCCTCTTTTCACAGGGGGATTTCAGCCCAGAGGATGCCAAAATGCTTTAAACAAATCTCCTGGAATTGTTTTGTCTCCTTTCAGAAGTGTGGTCACAGCTGGGGGAAGGGGTGGATGCTGCTGTTCTTGGCTGCTGCTTATCCATCCCCTGAGGAGCACAGGGAAGGGATGGGAGGCAGCCAGGTCCAGCTGGAGACCCTGTCCTGCCACGTGGCAGGGCCCAGCTCTTCCCCTCCATGGCTTTGGCTCTTTCCAGGCCCTCCTTCCCACTTGTGTCACATCACATGGCAGTGCCCAGCTCTTCCCCTCCATGGTTCTGCCTCTTTCCAGGCCCTCCTTCCCAACCCAACAGGGCTGAGCCGGATTCACTTCTGCACCACAACCATCTTCAGAGATCAGGGGTGATGGGATATGACTTTGAGGCTTCAGGATGATCTTTGGTGCCAAACAAACCAGCTCCTGAGGGTGTAGCTCTGCCAGACACAGCTCCCAGCTTGTGTTTCTCCACCCCTAAACTCAGCAAAGGAGCCATGTGAGGTCCTACCCTGTTCTCAGTGGGGAAGGAGAGGTGGGCTCAGGAGCTCTCCCAGCCCTCCTGCTCTCAGCCTTTTTGGGCAAACAGAGAGCTGTTCCACTTAATTCCCTCTCTCCTCTCACAAGTCAACAGGCAGAGCCTGTTCACTGCAAGACTGGTGCAAGGGGAGCACAGAAGTGATAATTGAGAGCATTAAGGAGGCATTAGCAGCCAGGGCACTCACAGCCCCAGCTGGAAACAAGGTTGGTGTCTGCTGGGAAAGATGCAATTGTGGGAGAGAGTATTCTCTTCCCTCCTTTTGTTGTGGATGTGAAGAGCAGAAAGTACAGGCTGTTCCTCGGTGTTCTCGTGCCCTGCAATGCTGGGAGGTTATTTTAGCAGGCAGCCAAGGAGGCTCTGGTATTTTGAAGACATCTGTGGCGCCAGTGTGTTTCATATAATTTTTAACACTTTGATAGCATTAAAAGCTGTCTGGAAAGCCCCTTCCCTCTGTTATCCATCCCCTGTGCCTGTGCTGAGCCTGTCCATGTTGGGCCAGCCCTGAACAGGAGCTGGTGTGCAGTGCTTTTGCAGGCTGAGCAAGGGGGAAACGTTCCTGCTCCTCCTGGTGTCTTTGACGTGTTACCAGCAGGCCAGTCCTGGCTTTCAAGGCTGTTTTGAAGGTCACTGATGTCTCTGTGACGTTCAGGCGAGTAAAATGTATTTTGACTCTTGTCACAACCCAGTTTTCAAGCGATGGGGTTGCTTTGGCTTTGTTTGGTGTGCTCAGCCAGGGGTGGCTGAAATCAGCATTCCTGCTGGGTGAGCTCCAAGCTCCGGGGCCCAGAGCCAGGAGCATCCACTGCTTTTATCTTGGACTCTCCAAAACTGATCCAAGTGGTCCCCATCCAGTCTCCAGACAGGAGCACTGTGGATGTGGCACTTAGGGAGATGGTTTAGTGGTGAACATAGTGCTGGGTTAATGGTTGGACTCGGTGATCTTGGAGCTCTTTTCAAACCTCAGTGATCCTGTGACAGAGGAAAACTGCCTGAATTTATTACTTATTTCCCTGAATCTCAAGGAAAACTTTCATTGGTGCTTAAATGGCTTTTTGTAGGGAGGATCCCATGCTTCCAGTACTGTGTTCATGTTGGGTTTTTTTTCCCCCTGGTTCCAAAACATAAGGAAACTAAGAATTTGGTTCCTAAATAAGAGGAAACTAAGAATTTGTTGTATGTTAAATATGAGGAAATAGAATCTGGCTCCCATTCCCCCCAAATCATCCTTGTTACACTCGTCCCTGTCCTCTCCATTCCCTGGCTCCACGAGGGCAGTCAGGATTTCTCCTCACACTGCAGAACAACGTGTTTGATTTTTATAACACCCTGAACACTCAGTCCTGGACCTCCAGCAAGGAATTCACCTGAGCTTTATTAAAGGCTGAAGGAGGGATGAAGGAGACTGAGGGGATTACGTGACCCGTGGTCTAGAGCCACCTTTGATCTGTTCCTCCCTCTCCCTCCTCGTTAGGAGCTAAATGGAAGCACTGGCTAAATTGGGTGTAACAGCTTGGTAAGCTCTCAGATGTCACTGATGATGTGAGCCTGGGCAGAGGTAATCAGGAATAATTGAAAGGGGAGAGGTGGGTCCATCAGCCTTTCCTCAGCCCAGGGCACTGAATGGGGTGCCATGTTCTGCAGGGGGAGAGGGTGAGTGTCAGGGCTGGGGGAAAGGAAACCACAGGGGGAAATGAGGCAAAACCAGAGCTGCTTGGTAAGATGGCTGGCTGGAAGGCTCTTTTAGGGTTGAAGAATAATTCCTGTGAGGAGCAGCTGGGTGGGCTCAGCCTGGAGAAAAGGAGGCTCAGGGAGAGGGTTTTAATCTCTCCAGCTCCCTGGCAGGAGGGGTAGCCAGGGTTGGGTTGGGCTCTGCTCCCAGGGAAGAAGGGACAGGAGGAGAGGAAACAGCCTTGAGTTGTGCCAGGTGAGGTTCAGGCTGGATAGTAGGGAAAATTTCTTCACTAAAAGAGTGGCTAACCATTGGAATGGGCTGCCTGGGGCAGTGGTGGAGTCACCATCCCTGGGAGCGTTCACAAAACACCTCCAAGAGCCACCATGAGTCAGCCCCGTGAAGCAGACGTGGCACTTCACAGGATGCTTTAAACGGGCTGGTGTTGTTCAGTCAAAGGTTGGACTCAGTGACCTTGGAGGTCTTTTCCAGCCTCAATGATTCCGTGATTGCACTGATCTGAGGAGGTGGCAGGAGCTGCCCTGCCCAGGGCAGACCGGAGCGGGCTGTCACGGTGTGGTGCCTCACGGCGCGCGTGTCCCTTGCAGGTCTGCGGCGCACGCCCAGCCGGCTGTCGGGGCTGAGCACGACCCCCCTGCCCAGCCCCCCTGGCCCCACCCTGACCTGTGAGCTCCAGGACTGCCCCTTCTGTGCCAGCCTCCTGGACGACCCCGAGTTCGCCCTCAGCGACTCCGAGAGCTGCGACTCCGACAGCAATGGCGTCTACGAATTCACGCAGGACCTGCGGCACGGGGACCACCGGGACCAGCTCCAGCAGCAGAGGGGCAGGAGGAGGAGGAAGAAGAAAAAACCCAAGGAGAGGAACAAGGTGGTGCAGCTGTGGAAGGCTTTTGGCAGCAAACTGAAGAGGATCGTGGAGAGCAAGTACTTCAACCGGGGCATCATGATCGCCATCCTCATCAACACCCTGAGCATGGGCATCGAGTACCACGAGCAGGTGAGTGCGGCCCTGGGTGGGCAGCTCTGAGGGTCGGGGGTTTCACGGCGTGGGGGGACCTTCAGAGCTGTATCAGAAGAGGAATAAGTGATTTTCATGCCGTTTGGAAACACCTTGATCCTGTGTGTGCGCGGTGAGCAGAGGCATCCTCGGTGTGTGGAACACTCGGAAGGGGGGCTGGCAGAGTGAGGGGTGGGGAGTTCAGCTCTGAGGTGTGCAGAGCATAAATATGTGTGTTGGCCATGCTTGCTTACAGCCTGGCTGCTTGTTGGCTCTGAATTATTCATACAAACATGAATTTTTCTGGTGGAAATACCCCACTGGACCGATGGTGGTGGTGCACAGTGGACCTTGTAGTGCAGGCAACCCACACAGAAACTTTGATCCTGGACCTTTAAATAAAGATTTGAACTATCAGGCAGTGCTGAAACAGCAAAGAACAACAACAACAAAAAGTTAGTTTCTCCCTGAGGGCTCCAAAACCTTTAATTTGATCTCGTAGGGTGCAAGTAGGTCTTTCTTTAAAGCGGTTGCAGAGAAATTGTGCTGCTCTTCCCAGTGTTAGTCTGAACATGGTGATGGCAGAGAGTGGTGCTGGCAGCGAGGACAGCTTGTCCTTGTTGGCTGGTGGAGGCTGGAGGGGCTGTGCAGTGGCAGAAGGGAGGTGAGTCATCTGAGCATCTCCAGTTGGTCGCTCTGGGAAAGTTGTGTTCTTCTGGGCTTTTCTTTCTTGGAAAAAAAAATGGTTCTTTTCAGCTGTTTTCTCTGGAATTTCTTGAGCTGCCTCTGTATCTCAGGTGCAGGAAATGCATCCCAGTGAGGCCAGGACATCCTTGGACTGACCTTCTGGGAGGTGGATAGTCAGAGACTCGTCCAGTGCTCCCCCAGAATCTTCACTGCAGGATCAGGAACAAGTCAAAGTTATTTATAAAGTTGTTTCTCCTCCTTCCATGGTCTCTCTGTTCAGGAGTGAGGAGGAAAGGCAGACCAAGCAGCATAATACATCCAAAGGGAGGACAAGAGGCTCTACATTATCTTTCCCATCATTCTCCAGGATGAAGTCCTGCTCAGGACCATGACAAATGGGTCCCTAGAGTGCTGCTACTTGATTTTCTCTCTACTCCTGTGCTTTAAAACCCCCATATTTTGAGCTGAGACATATTTTCTTTCAGAAAAGCAAGTGCTCAGCTAAAACCCCCCAAACCTCAGGTGTGCAACAATAAATTGGCTCAGGGTTCCAGCAGAGAGTGTCCAAACCCAACAGGGATAGAGCTGTCGCTGTCAGCTTCCCGTCTGCTTAGTTGTTCCACAACAAGTTTCAAAATTGGGAAATACACCTTGTCAATGGCTCCTGAATAGACCATTCATTCCTCTTGGCAGCTGCATTTCTGCACGGATACCCTTCTGTCAGGTGGATACAGCTCTGTCAGTCCTTGGATATGGCTGTGATGGGAGCTGGGGGAAAACCTTAGGCAGGCAGCAGGGAGAAAACCCAGGGATCACATGGATTCTGTCCACAATCGCTTGGGTGAGGGTAAATTGTGATAATGGCATCCTTGCTGCTCGCACGGGAAAGCTGCAGCCGGCAGGTTTGCGTTGGGTTTTACCTCGTAAAAGATTTGCTTTAAACCGTCTCAAAGCCAATGGCAATAAAGGCTCTGAAGCTTTTGGCTCCTGCCCAGGGTGGGCCCAATAAAAAGGGAGGAATTCTGAAGTGAAACCTGTAAAAGTTCCCCCACGTGCCTGCCCGCAAAGCGTCCCTGGGACACCGCGGGATGAGGAGCGCTGGAGCTGCCGGAGCCTGGCGTGGTGACACCTCACCCAAACCCCCCCTATCAACGGTGTCCCAGAGCATCAGGCACTGTCCAAAAGCAATAGGGAACGGCTCTGGGCTCCCAGACTGTTTGGCAGGAAAATCCAGGGCTCCTGTGGCAAAGTGAGGTGATTTTGGAACCCTGCAGCCCTCCCCTTGTGTGAGAATTGGCTGCCAGGCTCAGGCCGGGGGCTGCTTTGTGTGGAAGTGTCCCAGCCCCACAGCGTGGTGTGGGGATGGAGGGGAGGGGAGAGCAGCTCTGTTTGGGTAAGCCATGATCATTGCCAGGAAAAACAGTTTGATCACAGCTTTCTGGTTCCCCAGTGGCAGGGGCTGCCCAGTCCCTCTGCTCGGAGCAGGTCCTGCAAGGCGAGGTGTGAGCCTTCCCCAGGCTGTAAGCAGGTGTGGGTGTTGCCATATCTCCTTCTCCATCCTCCCAGGGGTGAACCTGGAGGTCATTCCCCCAGGCAGAAGGATTTAGGAGCGCTCTGTGGCTGTCCTCTGTCTCCCTTGCTCCTGCCAAGCTGTTCAGTGTTACCCTGAGAGCAGCGTTCAGGGGCTCATTGGGGAGCTGGTGCTCTGTGCCTGCTGACAACACCATGGGAAGGGATCTCCTGAGCTCTGAATTCCTGCAAAACAGAATCATGGAATCCTGGAATGGTTTGGGTTGGAAGGGACCTTAAAGCTCATCCAGTTCCACCCCCTGCCATGGGCAGGGACACCTTCCACTAGCCCAGGTTGCTCCAAGCCCCATCCAACTTGGCCTTG